CAACGTGAACATTTCCCAAATTGGGATCAATAAAGTATTCACCCCATCCATCCATCCATCTATCCATCCATCCATCTATCCATCCATCTATCCATCCATCCATCCATCCACCCATCTATCCATCCATCCATCTATCTATCCATCCATCTATCCATCCATCCATCCATCTATCCATCCATCTATCCATCCATGCATTCATCCATCCATCTATCTATCCATCCATCCATCCATCCATCCATCTATCCATCCATCCATCTATCTATCCATCCATCCACCCATCTATCCATCCATCTATCTATCCATCCATCCACCCATCTATCCATCCATCTATCCATCCATCTATCTATCATCCATCCATCCATCTATCCATCCATCTATCTATCATCCATCCATCCATCTATCCATCCATCTATCCATCCATCCATCTATCCATCCATCCATCTATCCATCTATCCATCCATCCATCTATCTATCTATCCATCCATCCACCCATCTATCCATCCATCCACCCATCTATCCACCCATCTATCCATCCATCCATCCACCCATCTATCTATCCATCCATCCACCCATCTATCCATCCATCTATCCATCTATCCATCCATCCATCCATCCATCCATCTACCCATCTATCTATCCATCTATCCATCTATCCATCCATCCATCCATCTATCCATCCATCCACCCATCTATCCATCCATCTATCCATCTATCCATCCATCCATCCACCCATCTATCTATCCATCCATCCATCATCTATCCATCCATCCACCATCTATCCACCCATCTATCCATCTATCCATCCATCCATCTATCCATCCATCCATCCATCCATCCATCCATCCATCCATCTATCTATCCATCTATCTATTCATCCATCCATCTGTCTATCCATCCATCTATCTATCCATCCATCCATCCATCTATCCATCCATCCATCTATCCATCTATCCATCCATCCATCATCCATCTATCCATCCATCTATCTATCTATCCATCCATCCATCTATCCATCCATCCATCTATCCATCCATCCATCTATCCATCCATCCATCTATCCATCCCATCTATCTATCCATCCATCTATCCATCTATCCATCCATCCATCCACCCATCTATCTATCCATCCATCCATCCATCTATCCATCCATCCACCCATCTATCCACCCATCTATCCATCTATCCATCCATCCATCATCCATCCATCTATCCATCCATCTATCTATTCATCCATCTATCTATCTATCCATCCATCCATCTATCCATCCATCCATCTATCCATCCATCCATCTATCCATCCATCCATCTATCCATCCATCCATCTATCCATCCATCTATCTATCCATCCATCTATCCATCTATCTATCTAACCTGTAGGAGTCCAGCAGCAGATCCAGGATGATGGACAGGTTGGTCATGGAGATGTATCGCAGGAAGCCGGCGGAGGCCCTGCTGGGGTCAGAGGTCCCCGGCGTGACCCTCTCACTTCCTTCAGGCTGCTTCACGAACTCCTCCATCAGGATGTCGTGCAGATTCTGCAGCAGCACCTGGTGCGAGAGCAGACTCACAACGATGGTGCGGAACGGGATCCTGCAGGATGAAGACATATTATTTAGAACGTTTTTAAATCAAGATTCATTCAAGATAGTAGTTAGTACAAATAAAATAGATACAGGACTTTCTTTTCTGAACTATGACTTTTTTCAGATCTGTCAAATTTCCAGATTTTGTTCAGATACAGATATTTTGAATGTTTTTAAATTAAGATTCATTCCAGACTCAAGGCTTTTATTGTCATTTGTAAATAGCTACAGTGTAGATATGTCAATGAAAATCTTAGGTCACAGGCTCCTCCAACAGAGCAACACAATAAAACAGATACAATTGTGCAAGTAAATACAAATAAAATAGATAAGTAAGTAATCTGTTGCATCAGGAACAGCTACAGTTTTGTAGTTTACGGAGAATTATTTGGGTTTTGGAACAGCTTAAATATATTTTACCCTCAAAGTATACCACACTTAACATATCACGTATGTAAATCACGTTACAGAAAAACAGCCTTACCCAATTTTCCTGAAACCCAGCAGCAGAAAAAACAAGCAAAGCCAGTTAGTGAGGGTTAAATACTGAAAATGTACAAACTAGAAATAGGATAAATTAATATTCTATACTTCTATTGCTAAAGAAGCTAACTCAATGCAGGAGATGGATCATTGTGAGAGTTTTGAATAATAACCTCTTCTGAGCTTGTCCGTTGGCCTGCTGGTCGGCCGGCAGCTCGATGATCAGAACGCAGGACTGAGCGTGCTCAAAGCCCTCCTTGTTGTTGGGCGTCTTTGGAGAGCACTGGGTGTCCAACATGAAGACCTGGGACACAAAGAGGACACGTCATATAGTAACGATAATAATAATAATACAAGGGATTTCATTTTGGGGAAAGAGATTAAAATCTGAAATCTGACTTTTTTCTAAGAGACTTTTTTGACTGTCTTTTCCAAAATTCTGTTTTTCGTAGCTCAGACTTTTTTTCTCGGAATCATGACTTTTTTCAGTTTCATTCAGAATCCCGACTTTTTCTGAAATCTTTTCAGAATTCCAACTTTTTTCAGATCTTTTTCAAAATTCAGACTTTCTCAAAAAAAATTCAGACTTTCTCAAAAAATGATCACTTGAGAATGATCTCAACGCTCTACTTCAGTTGGAAGTTACACATACTAGTTACCTGTAAAATGCCACCAGTAACCCAATCTGAGCATCACAATAATAATGTAGTTTTGTCTAGACAGCCCAATGAACGTGCAAAATAACGTTAGACTCGACCAATGCTGGGCCTTTTCATATCAGTTATATTGAGTCAAAACCTCTCCGCAAACGTCACTTCAGCACGTTGTAAATTGGAAAAAATGCTTCATTCCAGGAAAGTCAGAGAGCATGATTCAAACACCAGCTGCAGATAGCAAACCAGTACAGTAGGCCTATAATGATAGTTTAAGTTCTGACGAGTTAGAAGACACTATTTAAGGACTCAATATGAGGAAATTATGGAAATGATGTAGGTTTATAATGTCTGTGACAACTTAAGACTTTCAGAAATTACGTATTCTGTTTTTTTCATGGCAATTAAACACGTCATAGGCTCCTGTCTCCCGTCTCTTTCTTAAGATATCCAGATATTACACAATCAATAACTCTATGGGACACTACATTACCCGCTCTAAAGCACATACAGTGCTCCTCTCATGGTGTTTGAGTCACAGTGTTTAGGTCTGACCTGCTGAGCCATGGCTCTGATCCTCCAGTACTCGGCCTCGGCTGCAGGAGAGTGAGACGGAGCCGCTACCTTCACCTCACAGGCGTCTCCGGAGAAACTGTCCGACCCGCTGTGGAAACATGCCAGCAGGTTCTAGGAAAACACAAACAGAAAGGTTAACATGCAGGTTGCTTTGTTTATATATGTATTCAAAAGATAGCATGTCTTGATAGGCAAGGCAAGTTTATTTATATAGCACCTTTCAACACAAGGTCATTCAAAGTGCTTTACAAAAATGAAAGACATTAATAGCATAAGAAACATATTATAAAATGATATCTACAAACACTCATTTAAAAGCAAAGATAAAAGTTACAGTGCAGTCTAAGATGCGAATAGTTCAATTAAAAGCAGCGACAAAAAGAAAAGTCTTCTTGCTGGATTTAAAAGTAGTCAGAGTTGCAGCGGACCTGCCGGTTTCTGGGAGTTTGTTCCAGATGTTTGGAGCATAATAACTGAACGCTGCTTCTCCATGTTTAGTTCTGACTCTGGGGACAGAAAGCTGACCAGTCCCTGAAGACCTGAGAGATCTGGATGCTTCATCATTTAGCAGGAGGTCAGAAATGTATTCTGGGCCTAAACCATTCAGTGCTTTATAAACCAGCAGCAGTATTTTTGAAATCTATTCTTTGACACACAGGAAGCCAGTGTAAAGACTTCAGAACAGGAGTGATGTGATCCACTTTCTTAGTGTCAGTGAGGACTCGAGCAGCGGCGTTCTGAATCAGCTGCTTGCAGTAGTCCAGTCTACTGAAGATAAAAGCATGGACACGTCTTTCCAAATCCTGCTGTGACATTAGTCTTTTAATCCTAGATATGTTCTTTAGGTGATAGTAGGCTGATTTAGTAACAGTTTTAATGTGACTGTTGAAACTCAGGTCAGAGTCCATGACTACACCTAGATTTCTGGCTTTATCTGTTGTTTTGAACATTGCAGACTGAAGCTCAGAGCTAACTTTTATACGTTCTGCCTTGGCTCCAACAACCATTACCTCAGTTTAATCTTTGTTTAATTGGAGAAAGTTCTGACACATCCAGTCATTGATTTGTTCAATGCACTTACTCAGTGTTTGAATTGGAGCATAGTCTCCTGGTGAAATTGTTACGTACATTTGTGTGTCATCTGCATAGCTATGGTAACTTATTTTGTTGTTCTTCATTATCTGAGCCAGTGGTAGCATGTAGATGTTAAAGAGAAGAGGCCCCAAGATGGAGCCTTGAGGAACCCCACATGTCATATTTGTCAACTCAGATGTGTATTCACCTATAGAAACAACGTTGTTTCTGTCCTTTGGGGTATGTAATTTTGGAGAAACCAGCTCGAGTGCGCTAGAATTTGAAAATACACAGCCGGAAAAAATCTGCCACTTCCTTACAGAGCCCCTCCTCCAACACACACGAACGCGCACATGACCAATGAGGGCACGAGATAAGTTTGTGCACAGATGGAAGGCTGACAGGCAGGTAGGCCATCCAGTTACTTTAGCCGGGCCGGCTAAAATGATTGGTCGTGCTTTTTACAGCGCCACGGCTTCCACAGATGATATTTTTGTATGGATTTTTTGTCAAAGCACTTCAGATATTCATTGCTATCGGGATGTTAAGAGCATTCCATGGAATATAACAAAAAGTGTATCTCGAGACGGTTTCTCAAACGTACCTACCCCACCTTTAAGTAGGATTTAAACCAATTCAGAACTGTTTCCGAAAGTCCCACCCAGTTCTCCAGTCGGTCTAGTAATATGCTGTGGTCAACAGTGTCAAACGCAGCACTGAGATCTAATAATACTAACACTGAAGTTCTGCCACTGTCTGTGTTTAAGTGGATGTCATTAAAGACCTTTACAAGAGCAGTCTCAGTACTGTGGTTTGGACGAAAGCCTGACTGGAACACATCAAAACAGTTATTTAAATGCAAGAAGTTACTCAACTGTTGAAAAACAACTTTTTCAATGATTTTACCTAGAAATGGGAGGTTTGATATGGGCCTGTAATTGTTCATTACTGAAGCATCTAGATTATTCTTTTTTAAGAGCGGTTTAATGACTGCAGTTTTCAGGGCCTGTGGAAAAATACCTGAGTGAAGAGATTTGTTTACTATATGAAGTAGATCTGAGGCCATGCAAGGCAAAACATCTTTGAAAAATCCTGTTGGAATAATATCAAGGCAGCAGGAGGAGGACTTCAGAAGTTGTATAATGTCCTCTAGGTTTTTATCATTAATCTGATGGAATTGTGTCATGGTGTCTGAATTGATGTTAAGTGGACACAGAGACAACACATTTGCTGTTCCTGATGCAGAGGCACTGACTGCTTGTCTGATTTTCTGAATGTTGTCAGTGAAAAAGGAAAAATCATTGCACGCCCTGGTGGATAGAAATTCAGAGGCTACTGACACTGGGGGGTTAGTTAGTCTGTCGACGGTAGCGAACAAGGCACGCACGTTGTTTTTGTTTTTGGTAATGATGTCAGAGAAGAAAGACTGTCGGCAATTTTCAATCCCAAATGATAAAGGCCAAGTCTCTCTTTATAGATTTGAAAGTGAACCTGGAGATTTGTTTTTCGCCACCTGCGTTCAGCTTTTTGACACTCTCTTTTTTCTGTTCTCACGGTCATGGCCTTTCTCCATGGAGATATTTTCTTGCCAGTCACTTAAAGGACATGCTGCCAACCCTGAGTATCGCCTTCATGCGGTCATTGATCTCCAGGAAGGACTTGGTGCCAACCCTCTGTATCTCCTTCATGTGGTCGAACTCCAGGAGGGTGGGCGAGGGTGAAAGGGTGAACGGAGAGTAGAGAAAGCTGGGGGGTGAAGGAAGAGTATCCTCAAATGTGATAGGGGGGGTGAAGGGCAGTGGAGACTCCTCCATTTGTCTCATAGGTCTCCCATAATCAAGACATTCCTCAGGCGGGTGCAGTGATACTTCTTCAGGGTTTTCTGCGCGATGTGTTGTGTCTTTCTCCTGTTTTGATTCCTCTTGCCGCTTGTCCTTGGCAGAAGGAACAGATTGATGACGCAGGCAGTTGAATACATTAGAGATAAACAATTTCACTCCTGACTTGTTCAGGCAAACTCCATTTGCCTTGAAAATATGTCTGCGATCCCAGAAAAAGTTAAAATTGTCAATAAAATGGACAGAATGGTCAGTACAGGCCGTTGAAAGCCAGGTGTTCAGTGCAAACAATCTGCTGAATCTCTCCACTCCACTTGATACAGGAACGTCTGCAGTGCATTCATCTTGAGAAGCTAAGATTCTCGCTGAAAGGATCCTTAGAACCCGTCCACGAGACCTGGAACCCATTACTGTTGTTTATAAATGACCTCACTATTACCCCTGACACTGACGTGGCCTATTGTTCTCCAATGTCTTCATCATTTTGTTGTTATTTATTATTTTACTCAATGTGAATTTGCTGTATTCCTGCTACTTGTGACTTTGTGATGTGAGTTATTTATTTATATTTATTGTATTTATTATTTTATTAATTATTTCTTTCTTTGTTTCCTATTTACTGTGACCATGACCTAATGGGACAGGGGATGGGTATTTTGATTTCCTTTAACAGACACATTGTTGTGTACTTTGTTTAATGTGCTGAAAGTTCCATGTCTGCAAAAAAACTAATAATAAAAGGTAGCATGTCTTATTACATGGCTTAGTTGAGTACTGGATTATGATTGGTCAATTCAGAACACGTGACACGTTGTTAATCCAGTACAGACATACCACTGTCAAGGACTTATCGTTGTTAAGGACGCTCACTTCTGCAGAAAGAAAAGCAAACTGTTTCCTTGTCTTTAGTTTTCAGTTGTCTACCGTGTGAGAGCAACAAGGAGGATTTTAATATTATGTTTAATATATTTGGAGAGCACAGTCATTTGGATGAATGGTTAGTGGCTGATGAGTCGCCAGCGAAGAAAAGAAAAAGACAAGAGGGACAAGAAAACAGCGGAGAAGAAGGAGAGCGAAAAGACGGACCACATGATGAAGCTATTTAAAGACTAGCTGATCAGCAGAAACCCTCCACACGGAGCTGCGGCCCTTTGTATGTTATGGTCCAGACATCAGACGGCAAAACATCTTCAGTGTGCAGTTCCTTTGGCATCAGGGCAGGGATATCTAGATGCTTTCCAAGCTTTGACAAAATGAAGTGTGCTACTTTTAAAGCAAGCAGCGATGTTTTCAAATCTGTAATCAAAAAGCAAAACGCTATCGAAGCAGTTGCTGCCGTTGCTACGTAGTTCAAACGGTAACAACGGACTATTTTTCTTAGCGGATGCATGTCCTTTTAAATCAATAAAAACATTTTGTAAATCAATAAAAGCATTTCAATTAATATTGGGAGTCACGTCGTTACTTTGTTGAGAATGTGGCCGTGTAATAAGCGGGATAATGTGCAGCGACAGGACATTATCCCTTTCTTACTTGTCTGCTTAATTATACTTTCCCTGCTCACACACAGTGCTCACTGTAGGAGCCATAATGACCTCAAAGCGAGTATTTATATAAATAATTGATTAATTGACTTAATCAATGTTTAATGAAACATGGTTTATATTATCAGCCTGTGTTTCATAAAATGGTTATGAACACCCCTTTGGTCATCTCTGCAACTGTACAGTATGTAGGGACTTTATGTAAGTGAGGGGATTGAGGTTAGGTTTTGTTATTTTTAAATAAATACGTTTAATTTAGAGTTTTTTTAAGTCTTTGGATTTTTTTTGTTAATAAGTTCGTTTTTTTGTTGATGATTTAGCGTCACGTGTCATCGACCCTGCTCTGTAGTGACTTATTGGAACGTTTGGTTGCCACTACAAACAAAATACACATATGGACGACTGTATTCATAATGCTTTGATATGTTTTATGATTTGTCTTCATGGTTTCATGAGCCTCGGACTTTCATTTCCATTGGCAAAACAATGCTGTAGCTTTTGTGCAAAAAGCCTTTTAAAACCTCTGATTTTCAAAGGCTTTTTTATATTTTATAATCTCCGATACAATTATGTAAGATGGTGAGTTCATGCAAATTCTTCACGTGAGTGAAAATCAAATGAAAAAGAGTCGATCTGATGAACTCCAAGTATTAAA